TAAGCAACCGTTACTGTGCAGCCTTAGCTTGCAGTAGCCTCTGTAGTGGGCACTCCCAGAGCAGGCAGAAGGAAGGATGAGGGAAGGATCCCAGGAGCGGAATGCTCAAAGGAGTCTTAGAGAATGAATAGAAACAAGAGCAAGAACTCAGAAATCTTCCACTCTAAGCCTTTGTACTAGGTCTTTTGGGGCAGAAAGACAACCAAACTTGAATTATTTTAAATTTGCAGTTCAGAGTCACCCTCCAGCTACCAAAACCATTCAATCTACTGTTATAGGAAAAAGCCAGTGCCATACACAGAGCTACATACATGCAGGGACAGCCTTTTTGTAAAACATTCACAGCAAAGCTGAGGAGACAGAGATGTCCCTCACATCCAGCCTCCCGATAGCTCCAGCCCTTCCGAGGAGCTGCTGGTTTGGGGGATGGATGGCCCTTAAGGGCTGGGAGGCAGCTGGGGTGTTTCTGTTTGCTGGGTCTGGGTTGGTGCAGTCTGGGCTGGGCAGACAAAGCGGTGAATGGTTCCAAGTCTTGGAAGGTGAGAAAAGGGAGGTGTGTGGAGGAGGGGCGGGTGATAGGTGACAAGTAATTGCTTTGTTTGGTGGCAGGGGCCTCTTAGCAGCAGCAACAGCTACTTGAAGGCCCATTGCTTGAGTGCTTTTTGTCATCAGCCCCACCAGCTGCTTCTGTGAGCTCACGACTGGGCAGGGCGTGCCGTCACACCCACTCTTGTCTGCAGCTGTCTCTCTCCACTGTCATCCAGAGCCAGGCCCTATTTCTCCAGACACCTTTTCTCTGGCCGTTGGTGTCCCAGTGGCTCCTCTGTTTGACGAGCCCGTCTGTCGTGGAGCCTGCTGACGGCTGCTCTGGCCACTTGTGCTTCCTCTGCTGGCCTGAGAGGAGGCCTGGCTGCTGAGGCCCTGGTTCTGCAGCCTCCACGTCCATCTCCCCTCCTGTCCCGCTCTGGGGCCTGGGGCCCCACCTCTGTCCATTTAGGCTCCTGCTGTGCCCTGGCCGCCTAAAGGTGACACAACGCGATTGCTTTCCCTAGGATCCCCAGAAGGGATGCATCTTTCTCCAGTCCTGCTCTGCCCGGGCAGTTTCAGGACGTACACTGTGTCACCAGGCCGTGTGCCAGTGCTGCCTGTATGCTGAGGTAACAACACTTCCATTTCCAGATACAAAACACCCCTCAGTGGGGCCGAGCGACCTACACAGAGAGCTTTAACAGAACCCAGGTCTGGTGACTTCGGCTCCTTGATTTGCGGGTGTGTGCATGGCCAGTTTGTTTATTCCTTAATCAGCCCTGTAGAACAGTGATGATTTGGAATCAAAGAGAGCAAAATTCCTGCTTTGGCACTGGATAGGTGCAAGGCATTTGGCAAATGACTTACGCCATTGCCTTACTGCATTGGTTTTCTGATCTGTGAAGTGGAGGTTTACCTGGACCTCATTACCAGTGCTGAAAGGATCCATGACACAGTAGGAAAAACGCCCTGCACAGAATCTTCAGCAAACGGTCATACTAGGGGCACCAGAACTTCTAACAAAGACCACAGTGGGGAAATGCCTCGGGACTAATCGGAAGTTATTTTTTTGAGCTTTCGGCTGCACGATTCATGTTTCTTTACATTTGTGCTTGTGATCAGTAAGATGAAAGATTGGTTACACCGTGGTAAGGAATGCCTCGGAATGTTACTGGCTTGTAACAACAAAGTGGTTTATTTCTCCCTCTGTGCTATGAGACCTGGTTTGTTTGAGTTGCTAAAGCGTAATGCTATTGGTTAGGTAGCCTAGAGACAGCAGAAATTTATTTCCTACAGTTCCAGAGGCCAGAAGTATGACACCAAGGTGCCAAGTGATCTAGTGTGAGCAAGGGCCAACTTCTGGCTTCAAGGCTGGACCTTCTCTGTCCTCCTAGAGGAAGGGGCAGGGCAGGGGACCTCGCTGTCCTTCAGATCTAATCACCTCCAGAAGCCTCTGTGCCCTAACATCACCACCTTGAGGTGGGGCTTCCACATGTGGACTTCGGGGATCAAATGCAGACCACAGCCCATGTATTCACACCTGGCATTGCCCAGGCCTCTGTCCCACTGCTGTGGTGACCCTGGCCTGAGCTTGCCTGGCAGCAGGAGAGGAAGGAGAAGACACCGCCCACCATGTGCCACACTCACGTCCTCGGCTTGGGGGCGACCTGGTCACTTCTACCAGACCTCCCTGGCCGAAGAGTCACACAGCTGCTCCCGAGCTCAAGGCCTCAAGGTCCGGGTAACCCTTTCGTAGGGGCCAGCATCTCAGGGGCCTGGGAATCAGCACCCACAGCACAGAGCAAGCGATCGGCCCCCAGCTGTAAATGGAGCTGCACCTCTTTCTCACGGCCCTGAAAACTCTGATTTTGGTCTTTCGAGGCGCTCAGATTTGTTCGTGAGTTTGGATGAAGCCAACACATTGCCTAAAATAACAAAATACACTTAGACCTGGTAAAAAGAATTTCACAGCTGAAATTCCTGGGGGGAAAATAACTTTATTATTGCATAGCTAAAAATCTCTAGCACTACCCCCTTTTTTCTCCCATTAGAATAATTTGCATTGTAATGCTATTTTTGATAATGTGGTATTTCTTATGAATGCATAGTTTTATAGTAAAAAATGCATTTTCCATTTTTTTTTACTTTTCAGAAATCTGAGCTGAAATAGGTTTTGGTTTCTTTATGTATCAGAAAGGGAAAGTTAAGAGGCACCAGAAGACTGCCTGTATAAATTTAATTTTCCCTATTCATACATCTTTTTACTGTCACCTTTCTTGTAGCAGTTATAAATATTTTGTTTGCTTAACACAATATACCACTCAATTACTAGTTCCTGGAGAGCAGCAACTCTTTTACTGTGATTTTTGTATGTCTTTTGGTCCCTGGCCCTGCTCTAAATAAGGTTTCTTGAATTGAACTGGGTGAAGACAAAAATTATCCTCAAATATAATATAAAAGAATGAGCTATATCCCCTGCTTCTTGGGGATAAAGACCTATCTGAAATTTTTCTCATCTGGAGAAAATATGCTAAGGTTGTGCTAACTGTTCCTCAGGGTGGTACCTTTAATTGGCCTTAATTTGATCCTTTTAAGTGAGGTGCTGACTATGTGAGTTGGATGCTGATCTTTTTTCTCCCTGTCTCCCTAGCAGACCCGGCTGGTGCTGCACACACGGCCAGAGGTGTCCTACCTGCCTGTGCTTTGTGGTGTACACTGGGGACGGGACAGGAGGAGTGGGAGAGGGGCTGGGGCAAAACAAAGCAAAACAGGGAATGCATATCTTGTCACAGAGCTGTAAAAAACTAGTACAGGGCAAAAGCAAGCAAAGGGCACATGAAATCCTGTGGAGCCTGTTATATTAAATTGAGAGGAAAAATTTCTCTCTCTCTGATTTTCCTGGGTGGGTCCAGGGTCAACAGAACAGAGCGCCATGTTAGTGGCTGGCTGATTCAATATCCACTTTTGCCTAAGTGCAATGGTAGAAGACAAAGGCGAGGAGAGTGCTGCAGAAGATGACTTTGTGATCCGCCTCTCCTAGCACGATGACTTGAATAAGGAGAGCACTGCTTACGGATGTGGGCATGCCTTTCTTGCCATTCATTTGAGAACCACTATCGCTGGTCCTGTTTACTTTTTTTTTTTTTTTTGTTACTGGGGATTGAACTCTGGTCCTTGTGCTTGCAAGGCAGGCCACCGAACCACTGAGCTAAATCTCCGGCTGGGCCCTGTTTACTAAAGTGATGCCCAGCACTGGCCCGGAATCCCAAGGGCGGGCAAGCAGGGCTGAGTGTCTGGGGACCTCACCCAGAACGTCAGGTGCCCCTGGTATTCTAGGTCCTCTGCACATGTCTGTGCGGCCACACCTGCTCTCCAGACACCCGCTTTCCTGGCTCCAGTGTTCACGGCGCACTCTACTGTTCACGGTGCAGGTGCGTTGGTCTTTTTGTGTAGAGTTTCTGGGCTGGGTGAGCACGACTCATAAGCTTTCATATAATCTGAATTGTTTTGGCAGCAGGAGGCTGGAAGGAGATAAGAGAGGGGCACAGAACAGGGGGGTTGGCTTGTCACCTGCTGCCTCCTGTTCACGTGGAGTTTTGTAGATGTACAAAGCTTTCTCTGTATTCATTTTGTCAGGATGCCACGGATGGAAAGTAACCCTGCCCTGGGATCTGGGGACCTGAATTCTAGGCCTACTTTTGACTCTTTTAACTCATGTATTAAATATATTTTGAGGGCCTCCTACCCTGTGCAAAGCCCTGGAGGATGCAAAGATGAAAAAGTCATCATCCTTGCCTTTGAGAGATTCAACATTTAGTGGAAAAACGCATAAACTCATCAAAACGGGCTGAAAATCCAACTGGGTAACGTGGGTAAAAGGATAGAGCTGTCTACGGCTTTAGATATTTACTTAATAAGTATGAAGGATTGTTAATATTATTTCTTTGTTGTTATGATTACTATTTAGTGCTAATGAGGTGGTTCAGTATCCTGCAGGACTGCTGAAGGCAGACTGTTCTCGGTGTTAAGGGGGACATAGGAGGGGCTGCCCGAGGAGAACTGCTTTGGAACCAAGCATTGAGGGGGAAATTGAAGGCCCATGAGTGAGCCAGCTTGGGACAGGAAGCTGTGCATGTGCGTGAGTGCGTGTGTGTGTCATTAACATGGCTCGAGTCAGAGGTACAGTGATGAGAAGGAAATGAAGGACCTCAGGTGCCGGTCGAGGAATTTGGATTTTACTTTGTAAGTTATGGGAACAAAAATCATTTCATCTCCACCCTCTTTAATTAGAGGTCAGCACCCAGATGTCAGGGCACATCTGGCCTCGTCTTCCCCTGCATTGGAGCCTGATCACTGGGGGAGGCTGCTGCCTGCCACGGAAGGGGGTCAGATGTCTCCCCTTCTGTGACGTCATCCTGCACACATCCTCTAGTGTGTCACAGTGAACCAGGGGCCCTGGTTCCTGTGGACCACCTCTTTCTCTGCAGCGTGCCTGTCCCTACCTCCCGTGACTCCTCAGGTTGTCTGTCCATCTTCCCCAGGCCCGGGAGGTAGGTACTGCCCTTGTCCTGGTTCACCTTTTGGTCTTATCCTGAGCTGTTCGGGGCGTTTGTTCTTTCCTGCCCTGCTAATGTTTCTCAGGGCAGTGGCCTTGCACGGTAGGAATGGTCTGAGCTCAGGAAAACCCCCAGAATCCCACACCACCAGGTATCTGTGGACATGGGCAGTGCAGGCCTGCCAGTTGGAGATTCTGACTCTTGGAGCCTGGAGTTAACTGGAGGAACAACCTAATTTTGATTAGGAATACATTCTCTGCCTGAAAAAAACATGTCTATATTTTCACTCTCAGTTACTGGGGAGCAGAAGCTTAAATGGAGCTTCAGTTTGCTCAGATAGGTTAGCTGCCCTTGGACCCAGGCCTGTTTTTCCTTTGGAGACCTGGCTTTGAAAGGGGGACTTGCTGGGCCCATGTTGGCCTCCAAACATTTTATCTCCCGGGATTAACCTTCAAGGGAAGGTGCAGTGTGTTTGGAAAACAAATGAATAGCAAGTGCCAATCCCTGTCCAGCCCACTAACCAAGCTTGACAGGTCCTGAGAGCTGATAAAGCACATGAACTGCTTTCCTGCAGCAAGCAAAGCTCCGAGCTGTTCTTCCGATAACACCACCTCTGGCTATTGCACAGCGAAAATCACTCAATAACTTTTGACGTTGAGTTTGGGGGAAAAAGAGTCCTGTCCCTGTTTATTTTTTCCACATTTGCCGTAATGACAGATTGTTAAGACAGGGCCATGAAATATAAAGGTGCATGACCTCGTTCTGGCTGGGCCCAAAGCTAACCCACCCACATTGCGTACACAGACCGATGTTTACAGTTGGAGGATGGCTGTGTATATCCAGGGCAGACAGATGTAGTGTGTATGTGGAGGAAATGTATACAGTGGACAGCATTTCAATGTTATGGAGAGAAATACATACGAGAGGGTTGTTGCTCGGAGAAACAGAGCTGAGGGTCAGAGAACGAAGGACGCCTGCCTCTTAGTGCCTCATTACCGAGAGACTCTGGGAGGCAGAAAATATTTGAAGAATAGACTCCGTCAACAATTCCTCCTAAACTTAACAGACTTCTTATCTCCCCGGAGACACTTACAGGAATCTGGAAAATCTAGGACAGCTGGTGACCCATTCTGGCTGGGTGATGGAAGGCTCACTCGGTGCTGAGCCCCAGAAAAAGTGTGCCAGGCAGAGATGCGCTTGTGCAGTGAGTGCGGGCTGGGGCTGGGAGGGCGGGCTGGCCGCTACTCTCCCCAAAAAGATTTTATTAGTATTCCTGGGAAATCAGAAGCGGATGCAGTCCTGGAGATTGTCTTACTAAATCTCTCATTTTGTAAATGAGAAAGCAAGTGGTGTTCAGAGAAGCTAAAAATAGTGCGTGTAAGGTCAAAGCACCAGGTGGTAGCTAAGAATGGCCTGAGGCTCAGCTCCTCTGAACAGACTTTAAAACTTTACCCTCATGTAGACTTTAGAGCTCTTGATAAGTGTTTATCGAGCGGGTGCGGGGCTATGTACGAGACGTGCAGAAACTGAAAAGCTCCATGTAAAGGGGAGATTTTCACAGGCTTGCACAAGTCCATCTGACTTCCCCGCCACTGCCCGAAGTCCTGCGACGGCTCCACGGTGCTCCGCGGTGTGGCCTCGCACGGCTATTTCCACGAAGACGCTGCGGTATTCAGGGGAGTCATCACCATCCACTGCCCTGCAGGTTCAGGATGAGTGTTTCGCCAGAGCCCCTTCCGATGCAGGAGACAGGCAAGGAGGCTGTTTCAGGGAAGGCCAGTTTCTGAGTCTTGGGTGAAACTCCTTAAGCTTTCATTTCTTATGTGTATGGAGGGGACAATAATACACAATTCTGAGATTGATGTCATCCACGTTCCATTCACGTAGGAGCAAACAGCCCCCTCTGAACATAATAGTGAGTCAATGGATATCAATTGTTTTCTGTTATATAACTACTGCGATGTCCAAATGTATTCATTCACTAGTGTTTATTTAGTGCTGACTGGTGCTAGGCATTGTCTTTGGCACTAAAAAGACAGTGGATGAGTCAGAAAGTTATTAATGTTCCTGCTCTCATAGCAGGCCATGTTTTTACAGTACTTGTGCTCATTCTCTCTCTCTCCCTCTCTCTCTCTCTCTTTCTCTCTCTCTTCCACCCCCTCACAATCTTTATCCATCATCTATTGACCAGTCCTGGCAGACTCACGATGTAGTGAAGCTCTCCTCTTATCCCATTATCTATAATCAGAGCAGATTTTCTTCTATTTGTTTTAGAAATTGGACTTCTCTGTAGAGGTTGGTTTGAAAGAAGACTGACCTGGTTGAATAAAATAAATTTGAAAAGCACTCCGCTGATTCATCTGCCATCAAGGAATTTCATGTTTTTTCTCATGTAGATGATTTTGCAAGCTAACTGAAGCTTACTGCTTTAATTTGATTATGTTATAAAAGTATATAGCATATAAAAAGAAAATTAAAAAATATGGCACACTTTTCTTCCTTCCTGAATAGAGTATGTTCAGCATAATGCACACTTTTCTTAATGGTTCCAAATACTCAACCTCTCTCGAGCATTTGGGAACCAGTGTTAACATTTTCTTAGGCATTTATAGCCTGAATTCTTTGGTTTTCTTCATACATTTATTTATTTTTAATTAATTAATTAATTAATTAATTAATTTGGTTTTTTGAGACAGGGTCTCACTATGTAGTTCAGACTGCACTGGAACTCACTGTGTAGCCCAGGGTGGCCTGGAACTCACAGCGATCCTCCTGCCTCAGCCTTCCAATTGCTGGGATTACAGGCATGCACCACCACACCCAACTTCTTCATACTTTTAAAGCTACTTTTTTTCTCAGTTTTCTTAAACCTATTTCTGTTCTCCTCCAACCCTTTTATTGAATTTTTCCCTTTGTTTTATTCACTCACTGTCAAGATGATTCTATTTCCACAGACTCAAGAATCTTTTCCTCCCACAGGGCAGAAGACCCTGACTCTATCTCTAAACTCATTTCTCCAAGCATAATACAACATTTCAGCTTCTTTGGGATAGGCATGGCCTCACAAAACCATGTCCATCTTTTGGTCCTCCTTTTTCTAGGCAGGGGTCTCGCTATGTTTCTAGGCTGGCCTCGAACTCCTAGGCTGGAGCAGTCCTCCTATCTCAGCCTTCCAGGAGCCGAGACTATGGGCCTGTGCCGCTACACCAGGCTCACAAGTCTGTTCTTGATTTCTTAAAAGTGGCTCCTGCTCTTGCCTCCCAGCATTGTCTCTCTAGCAGTTGCCCACTTTGGAAGCTCAAGGCCCTTACTGTCTAAACCCTCATGCCTATCCACCCATAGTTTCTAAGGTCTGTCGGTTGAATTCCACAAACTGTTTTCTTTTATTGTGCTGGTTCAAGACCTCAATTGGCTCTCACTTGGACTATTGAAATTGTCTCCAAACTGGCCTCTTTACTTTTGCAATTTGGCCTTCAAAACTCTTCTATTGATTGCTTTTAGAGTCTTTTCCTACAGGAGAGCTTTAGCTGTGTCAGCTTTGTATTAGAGACTCTTTCAGGCTCTCTGCCGTATATATAAATATACACAAATTTCCTCTTCCTGGGTGTATCAGTCTCCTTCGCCAGGCTCCAGCTTGCTTTTCTACCCTTTCTCTACGCATCTCTGACTTTGAATCTGCCCTGTATTTAAAATGTTTTTTTTTAATCTTCTTTTATCACTAGGCTTATTCTTGCCTTTTTTCCATTTGCTAAACTTTGACTCCCTTTTCAAAGTATAATCTTAAGTATTTTCTTCAGGAGAAAACTAAGTACCTAACCCATCTTTTCCTGTAAGCCATAGGTTGAAAGTATTCATATTACATCTATTTGAGCAAAGACTTTTGTATCCAGAATTCTTGCTGTTCAAAATATGTCAATATTTAAAAAAATTAAAAATGGCCAACAAAAGAATACATATAATTGGCCAATAAGCACATGACATGTGTTCAATAACACTGAAACGAGAACAGAAACGTACAGCATACCAATGGCATAGCTCACCCTGAATCTGACAGTCTCAAGAGTCGACTGCCTACGGAGCAACTTGAACTCTCCTGCCTTGCTGGTGGCCCCCTGTAAGATGATGAAGCTTTGGAAAACAGTCTGGCAACTTCTCATTAGGGTAAAGATATATTCAAAATATGACCTAGTGATTCCACTCTGAGGCATTTACTCAAAAGCCTCACCAAGACTTGTGCTGGAAAATAGCAGCTTTATTTCCTGTGGCCCGCAACAGAAGCAACTTATATATTCGCCAGGTGGACAATGGACCACACAGACGATTGCAAGATGTTTGAAAATGGAACTCTACCCAGCATCAATGGGAATGCTCTGCTCACACGTACAGTAACCTGGATAAGTCTTAAAAACAATGCAGAGTGGGATAAAAACAAGATATAAAAGGCATACCCCAGTAGGATTGCATTTATATGAAATCCAAGAACAGTCAAAATTAATACTGAGAAAAAACTAATTGGTGGTTACTTGGGTCTGGGACCCTCCAAAGGAACATGAAAGAATGTTTGTGTGGCTGGGGTTATTCTATGTCTTTATTTAGTGTGTAGTTACAACAAATGTGAGATGGACATTTGTCAAAGCTCAGTGAACTATACACTTAAAATGGGCACATTTTATTGTGTCTAAGTTACATCTCAATAAAACTGATAGCCAGGTAAAAACACATTGTGATTCTGATTTCTAGCACTCATCCTTACCAGGAAATTTCACACCCTCACTCACTTTATTTATTTTAGATAAATGCAAAATTTATCTATTACATAATTTCATATCCCAGGTGAAATAAATAGCTAAAAGCATAAAGTCTTAACCCAAATGCCTGGCCTGAGAACTCTGCCCCAGTGACTTCATTCAACGTCATTATTTGACTTCCCAAAACTTCAATATGGTGGCAACGACACTCTGTCTCACTGGGCTGGCAGGAGGATCCACTGTGTTACTGTACATAAGTCAGTGTTCTGTGTGTAGAAGTCACCATGGTCTCCAGGTTAGGCTCAGGGCTGACTGAGCCCGCTCTGCTCCTGAGATCAGCCCTGCTGCACCTGCTGTTCTGGGGCCCTTCTCAGGGCTCTTTCCGAGCTTTGCAGTTTTATAGAACATTTGCTTCCATCCCAAGGAACTTGCTACTGCTACGTTGTGTCTTCTTGAGTCTGATTTGCCTGTCTGGGGTTTTACCCTCCCTATTTGCTTTGTCCCCTTTTTCATACCAGACTTTGCACACTGACTGATAGAATTGCCACCCAGGACTTCCACTTTTAACAAGTGCTGATGACCAGGAAATTATGTAACTCACTGCATTTGCACTGCATTTAAAGCAGAGGTAAATAGGCTCTGGGAGTGGAACTGGGAGCTTTCCTTAGAAATGCAATTTGGTGCTTCTAGGATAGGACCATCTCTGTAAACTTTTTTAGAAACTGCGATGAGATGTAATAGAGTCAAGTGAACAAACCACAGGTGCCATTTCCATGAATTTCTACAAAATAAACATTGTGCACCCCACTCTTCAGTGAAGACAGGTGAACACCAGCCGTCCAGAATGCTGCTGCGTGTAGGGCCGGGATCTTTTGACACTTATTTGTGATTTAAAGTTCCTTTTTGCTTATGCCTATGTTCTGCATGGTTGCATTTTCTGAATAAGTAAGTTAATAGTATTCCCTAATTTTAATAATACGATCTTTCCAGCCGTACAGCACACCCTTGGAATACAGAGACAGCGGGGCAACACCTTAGACGTGGCCTAAGTCTGGGATGCATGCTTTCCAGGCATGGGCTGGGGACAGGTTTGGGAAGGGTGCAGGGTTGAGGAGCTCAGGGCTCCTGAATTTGCTCTTTTCTGCAGAAGCAGTTCACCCTGGGCAACGCTGGCTGCTCTGAGGTTGCACTGCGTATTTGCAGATTTCTGCCCTCCCTCCCAAGGATGACTGAGGACTGTGATTGTTTCCCAGCCCTCAAAGAATCCCCCAAAGCAGCCTGTCGCTGGGGGTAGGTGTCACACCACTGGCCCCTGGCCCGTGACCTATTTTGTTCATGCTCACTGCTTTCCTTTGATCTGCTGAAAGTGCCCTTCTTTATTGTTCTGATTAAAATGAGTTGAAGTTGGGTGGAGGGCAGGGGAAGCTCGAGGCAGAGCCCAGCGTGCTGCCCAAGGCCTGGCTAGGCTGTCTCCCCGTGAGCGAGAGGCTGCCCTGGCCAGGGCCTCTGGAGAGGCAGCCAGGGGAGGACGGACTCAGGCCATGGGGCTGCAGCTGGGCCGTGTGTGCCAGGTGACTTCCTGGCTTGCTGGGACAGGGGAGAGGAGGCACCGAGGTCACCCTCTGTCTTTCAGTAGATAACGGGCCTGTAGCTCATTTTCCTCACTTTATTCATCTGCTGATTAGGTAACAAGGCAAGTCGTTGGCAGATCTTAAGTAAACCATCTCTATGAAGTGTAACTGCAAAGTTCTCATAGGAAAGTCTTCCTTATGAATTCAGGTTCACCACCCTGCATGCGGGCACTGGAAGACCCCCTTGTGGAAAGGCCCTGACCAGTGCAGACCATGGGTATGCTCGGGGCTCTGTAGCTTTGGGTGTCTGGGACATGGACCCAAACAGGTGACTCACCCTGCTTTTCTTCTGTCCAAGGTAGGCACCTCTGTGTGTACTCTGGCAAGATGAGTCTGAAAAGATTTTGCTAGGTTCTGAGGGGAAGCAGGTATGAAACAAAAAGCCTATACATTAAACATCCTGGCTCACTTCCTGTTCCTGGTGCTGCTACTTCCTGCCTGTTCCAAGGGCTGAGTTTTCCATCCTCTATTACCAGAGTCCTGCAAACTCAAATGACCCTTTGTCTGGGATTCTCACATCTCTGTCTGTCTGCATGGGGCTCGCTAATGAATGAGAGAGAAATGCCTGTCCTCTATTAACCTCTAGTACGTGCTAGGCTCTCTTTGCATGCATTATTTGATCTCTTCTTCCCAATGATACTATGTAGTGGGTATTACTAACCCCATTTTACAGATAAAAACTCAAGCTCAAATAGACCAATTAACGAGGTTAAGGCCACACAAAGAGGAAGTGGCTTGGTATTACCTGCTCAGGGCTATAACTCCTCCATGGTCAAACTTGAGAAGTGAGTATTGGGCCTCCCTCCTCAGCTCTGGTCTCTCTGGTGAGTGACATGTTTTTCTGCTGGTTGTTGCCTCAGGTGGGCCTGGGATGCCTGCATCAGGTGTACATTGTTGCCTAACTGTACAGTCCTGTTATTATGTTATCATCCCGAGCACTCATGAAAGAATGACACAAATTAAAGAGCTGGGGGGGGTGCGATCCTTCACAGGGTGATTTGTGTCTTACAAAGGCTTCACCCTAAGATTCATTTATGGACCAGACACAGCAGTGCATTTTAATCACTGGCTGATTTGCATATAATCACCAGGAAGGCATCTGCCCTGCATGAATAAATCACTTTTACAGTCAGAGCAGGTACGGTTCATCGAGTACCTGCCGTGTACCCCGCACTTTATATACATATTTTAATTTATCCAGCAAACCTTGGCGGGCAGTGCTCACCTTCCCCACTGTAGGACTGAAGGAGTCCGGGGCCTGTCCTGCACCTGCACACGTTGGGCAGGCAGAGAACGCACAGCTGGCTGGACGGGCCTGGGTGGACGAGAAGGGCTTGGACCCCAGCAACCATCCCATCAAAGGCAGCACCCTATCACTGGTGTAGGTGAGGCTTTTCCCTCCTCTTTTGCCCAGGAGGGGAGGGTAACGTTCAGTTACTCGTCAGCCTCCCTAGCATTCCCCCGCTCGCACACCTGCTCTGTCTTCTGCTTTCCGTGCTGCGGTCTTCTCCAGAGTCACTGCGCCCCTCCATACCCGGCGCCCCGGCCTGGTCCCCTCGGGGTCATGTCGATCACTGTCTTTCACTCCCTTGTACTTGTGGTCAAGTAAACTCGATTTTCTCTACAAATGCTCCTTGATGACTTAACTCCTGCTGGTCCCTGAGATTATGTGGTGAGGTCGGAATATATGGTGAATGTTTAAATTAAAATGCTTCACTACAATGGGAGTCACTCAGCCATGACCCCTCTCAAAATCCTGCCTCTCTTGTCCCATTGTTCTTGACACTTTCTGAAGCCCTTCTGAAAGTCCTCCTTCATGTCTCCACGAGGTATGATCAAAATATAGTGAATGCTGCTGCTGAGCGCCATCCATGGGGAGGCAGCTCGTAAACAGGAAGTGGGCCCTCACCCACCTTATCCCTGTGTGACTCCTGTTTTCCATCCGAAGTCAAAATGCCCTCAAAAGGCGAACTCTTTCAATCCACTGAAGTCATCAGGGCTGTGACGACAGCCAGCTGGCGGGAGCTCTTCCCGAGCTGCGCCAGAAAGCGGCAGGACCAAGGGGCTAATGTCAACGTGTTTTTCAGTGTTACAGTTCCTCAAAATTTAACACTCACTATTTTTATCATGTCTCCTATAGTGCAGAAAGAGATAGACTGTCCCATTCCCTCATAGACCTATGACCAAAAGGTCAGGAATTTAAACAATCGTTCAATTATGTATTCAAATGACACTGTCGGGAGAGACAGTATGAAAAAGGACCCCGTCTAGATTCATCTAGTGCCAGTAGAATCCTTGGGACTTTGCATACTGCATTTAATTTTCTCAATGGTTCTTTGAGGGGGGCCCTATTGGTGACCCCGTCTAGCAGATCGATAAACTGAGGCACAGAAAAATGAGGAAACGTGTTCTGAGACATCAGCAGTGAAGGTTGGAGCCAAGATTTGGCTTCAAGAATTGTAGTTCCTGAGCCTGGACGTCCATCGGAAGTGATGTAAGAATAAGTAACGGGAGTGGCCCAGGGAAAACAACGTTCTGGCTGCTGAACGGCAGGGTGACGTGGGGTCAGGTCCAGGGGCCTCAGGGTCTCAGGGCCAGAGCCCAGGTGGGATGAGGTGCAGGGCAGCAGAGCAGGGAGGGTGTCCCGGGCTCGGTGTCTTCCCTCCAAGGTGGGACCTGAGTGTTGTGTGCACCTCCCCTGAGGGGCTTGGACCCGATTCGGAGTCCGACCCTCCCCACGAGGCCATCAGGAACCGCGGCGACTGACTTGGGGAGTCCGCCTGTGCTGGGCCTCCGCTGCATCTCGCCTCGTCCCATCTGCTGCCCTGTGGCTGGTCACGGTGTCTTATGTTTTCTCTGTAAACGGCGCCAAGAGTGCCCGGCGTGGCACAGGTGCTCAGAGTCGTTTCCACACCTCTCCTTTGCAGGACTCGAGCCCGCAGCTCTGCTCGCTGGTCTGCACTCTCCACCTGGCTTCCCTTCCCTCTCCTCTCTGTAAACCTTGCTCCATTAGTTTCCCTTCTTGCTTACAGATTTCCAGAGTATAGTTCTCTCTTCTAGGACAGCTTTAAAGCCTAGGGAAACTCTTGGGTCTCTTTTCTCCCCAAACCAAACCCAAGAAGCAAAAGAACAATGAAACAGACAGAAGGGCCAACAGCTCTGCCCGCATGCTGCACCCTCTCTGGGAAGGCCGTCACTCTGCCCCTTCCACCGCTCCTGCCATCCCGCCCCAGTCTTGCTCTGAGAAATGTGCTGTCACAGCCCCATCCATGGACCTTGTCCTTGGTAGACCCCACGCCCTCTCTGGTTCTCAGACACTGGCCTTCCATGCTGCAGGCTGTGTGTCTTTCACTCACTTCTTTCCTGGTCCTGCCTGGCTGGGCTCGCGGTGCCCTCACTGGATTCCTCCCCTGTGGTTCCTTCCCTCTGTGGTTGTGTGGTCCTTGTTCACACTCCCTCCCTTCGCCTGCTCCACATCTGTGGCTCCAGAGGGTCCTTGGATGTGGATGGTGTCTGTCCCCAGGTGTCCACCTGTTCCTAGGCTGCCCCATCACACCATGCATCCAGACTGGATGGGTCCCAGACCCACCTGTGGGTGCCTCTGATTGGATCACCTGCATCTGGTCATGGATCGCTTCTGTATCTGGAACTGCAGGGCCCTTCTCTCATCTTGGCCACCAGTCCACTGCCTGCACAGATGAGCACCCCTACCTCCAGCCCCAGCCTCCCATATGCCCTCTTCTCTCCTGGCATCCTAAATAGCTCTGGTCCTGTTCAGCCTGTTCTCTCCTATCTGGTCTTTCGCAGTAGACCGCAAATTGATCTTCTGCCTCCGGCTCAGTGCAGTCCCATTTATCACACATCCTTCTGCTTAAAAAGTGATCACTTTCAGAAATGCAAACCATGTTGTCCCTTGCTTAGACCTCTAAAGTAATTGCTGCAGAAGGAAATGCACATCTCTCAGTACATCACGCATGACCTCTCTGCTCCGGTCTCTGCTCCCACGCCTCTCCCCATGCAACCCACTTCCTGTGCGCTCTGCACCTTGGCTCGTGGGGCTCCCTCTGCTTGTGAGCAGCCTGTGGCTCTGCTCTCCTGTCCCTGCTCTGGTTCTGCTTTATGGTGGCGGGTCGGATGTTACACGCGCCCATTTGGCCCTTCAGTCCTGTTCACTCTCTAAGGGGAAGGTTTGCCTCCCTTGCTCTCTTCCTGTCTCATGCCCAGGGCCTAGTGCAGGGCTGGGCAGGCAGTAGCTGCTCTTCAGGTGAACAAACATCCAGAACAAGACGGCAGCTCCTCACATGCAGTAGCGGCTCCAGTTTGAGCTCTTGGTGAGCCCAGGAATGCCTCTGCTGTCAATTCTACCCCAGGAATACTTGGGCTTCATTGTATCCGATTGAAAGCTGAGAAGGGGCTGCCTTTGGTCTCTCTCAGTTTCAGGAAACATACAGATAAGCGGAGTATGTTAGTTCAGATTCCTCTCCTCGCCTTGGAGACGTTTTATGAAAAACATTTTAGATGGCATTAGGATGTATTCAGCATTACTTCTGTTATGTATTTGCCTATAGTAAGTGCCTTAAAAGTGTAGCTGTATCATCCTCACAACAATCCACTGAGGGTTTTTGAAAAAATTATCATTATTCCCACGCTGCAACAAAAGACTGGGGTCCAAATCCCACTCAGTCCCTTGGACATGGTTAGGGGACAGTTTATCTAACTCTACACTGTCTCAACTGTGAAACTGTGATTCATTTTATTACAATAGAGGCCGAAGGCTGGCAAAGTTTTTCTGGAAAAGGCCAGAGAGTGTTTTATGCTTGGCTTTTGCATATTTTTCTTTGCAAAAGATTTTCTTTTATTTTTTGCTTTTCATAATCTTATAAGAATGTAAAAATTGGGGCTGGGTATATAGCTCAGTAGTGACGTTGCCTGCCTCGAAAGTGCAAGCTCCAGAGTTCAATCCCCAGGGTGTGGGGAGTAAAAATTAGTTTTGGCTCATGGTGGTGCATGTAAAAGCAGGGCACAGGTGGGCCCAATGGCTTTGTCCTTGTCAGAGTTACCCGTGTCTCACTGAGTTACCGAGCAGGACACCTTCCGGTTGGTGCACTGGACTCATACAAGGAATGAGCGCGTCTCAGAAGTCCTCCTGCAGTATCAAGCAGTGTGATATGAGCACGTGGGCAGCCCAGCCCCCATGCAACAGCCTTCAAGGGTCCAGCACATGCCCGCTGGCCAGACCTGAATGTCCCTGTTTGCTCTGTAATTCGGCAGGTGCTGCAGGAGTGGACATCTCAACTTCCTGTGCTGCCTTAACAGTTCACACAGGGCTCCCCGAGCAGTCCCGAAGTGTGGGAGGAGACTTAACATCTATGCCTGGCCTTCACTTTAATCAACCAGGAAATAAAAATTTACTCAACACCTCTTCTCAGATCTTTAGTGTTGAACCTTGGACTTTGAATCGTAGTCTCTTTATCATAAAGGGGGGACAATGAGGGGAAAAAACACCAACCTTTAGGGACTGTAGTGAGAATAGCACTCGGTAAAGCACTTAACAGGCAAGGACATGATGGGAAGAGACAGAAACTTCCAGAAGAAATTTTCAATTCATGTAGAGAAGGAAACCTAGTATTTCTTTTAAAAATTTATTTTAAAAAAAGCATTATTGAACTAAAATGTGCACACTACACTTTACCAACTTAAAGTATATGATTCAGGAGATTTTAGCCTATTGACAGAGTTGTACAACCCTAACCACAGTCAAATTTAGATCATTTTTGTTATCTCAAAACAAAACACTCTACCCATTAGGAAACCTA